TGTAAATCTATTGCTATAGTGTACTGGACATGTGTAATGTATATGTAGTACATATATACAGCACACACCTCCACTACATTACAGCAATAGATTTACAATTCTCCTCTGCTAACATGAATAGGTTAAATCATGATCCATAGTACATAACATGTAGTTGTACTATGGTTCATTTAAAGTCACCTGTCCATTAAAAAAAAAAAAGTATCGGCAATTGGTATAGGCAAGTACATGAGGGGAAGTACTTGTACTTGGTCTTAAAAAAGTGGTATCGGGACATCCCTAATAATAACAAAACACTAAGGGCTAGTTCACACCAAGCCCGGAGCAGGTCCAGAGCAGAGCAGGTGCAGACCGGATCAAAACTGCGTCCAATGTATTCCTATGGTATTTTTAGCTCCAGTTCACATCGCAGCGTGCAGATCCAGAGCAGGTAAAAAAACTGCAGCAGGCCCTATTTTACCTACTCTGGATCTGCAAACGCATCAAAAACGCATGCAAATGCCTGGAACGCACTGAAAGCCGATGTTAAACTAAAAATTGGTTGGATTGGATTTTGTGATCTGTTATTTTTCAGCCAAAAACGCATCAAAAAGACTACCGTGCGTGTGCAGAAACCTGACCGGATCTGCATTTGGTGTGAACAAGGCCTAAGGAGCAGGCAGATTACTGACCCTAACACTCGCTACATAAGGCCCCATTCACACTCCGCGATATGCAAATCACGCGTTTGTCGCGCGATTTGCATTTTGCGCGATATTGCGAGATTTGCCGCGCGATATCGCGCAAATGCTTGCATTGAAAGCATTTGAATCGCGGCAAAATCCGCTCCAAAAAGGGTCCTGCTGTAGCGACACACGACCCGCGACAGCAGGACCCTTTGCCCCATTGAGAAGCATTGGAGAGCGATATCGCGCGGTAATTTGCCGCGATATCGCGGGAATTACCGCGCGATAAATCACTCAATGTGAACGGGGCCTAAAGCATTTGCATCAGGTGCTGATCTAGAATTGGAATAGACCTTTCCTTTTTACACATGTTTTGTACAGAATGACCAGCAGGTATCCCATTGTTAAATAGTGTACATCCTGGCAGCCAGTTTTATAGGTAAGCTGGTCGCAGGCACAAGATGGTTTTCTGACATATGGGCATAGATCTGATCATGTACCAGCTAGCTCCTGTTTAGATTTAAAGTGTATTACCACTTTTACAGACAAATTTGGATTACGCCTACTTTATGTTTGTTATATGTTCTCATTCACATTGCAGCTTACTTTTTACTTGCTCTGCTTTGAAAATTTAAAAACTGAAGTTTTCTCCTACTATGTAATGTTAAGGAGTGGGCTGAGGAGTTCATGTACTGTCCTGGCAGATCTTCATTAATAACTAGATATGCACGCTGTCTGTCCTAACAAAGGGCCTGTTCACATGAGATCAAGTCCTGAGCAGCAGACGTGGAGCTGCTGATGCATTGCGTTTGTGGCCGCGTTTTTGATGCGTTTCAGCAAAAAAAAAATTTTTTTTTTTTTTTTTTTTTGCTGGAGTGGGGCTGTTAGTATAGGGATGCATTTTGAGTGCAGCAGCGTACGGAGCCGGTCAGCACACAAAACGGACTTCGTGTGAACAGGCCCAAAGGGTTGAAGATCCCAGGGCGTGTGTTCTGAAATGTATGTTCACGCGGGTGGCAAAAACAGACAGTTGATATTCATTTTACTACCGCCAACTGCCCACCTTAACTGTAATATAGAGGCAGCACATGCTTGTACATATGTCATGGCTGCAATGCTTTGCACCTTGGCAACTTTTAAACATCATGTTAAGTTAGGTAGGCATTGTCGCTTGCGCAACGCAACAGTTGCAATGGATTGGATTTTGTGATCGGTTATTGCAATAGAAAATCCCCCATTGGGAGTTTTAAAAAAAACAGTCAGGAGGCCGAAGTTTCACCTCCTGGACATGCGACAGCCTCTGAGAAACAACCCACCACAGATTTTTCAACCAGCTTTTCAGAGCGGCGGTGGAGCCTGCTAACCAGGTGAACGAGCCCTTAATGAGAGGAAACAGTCTGTCCCTCTTAATTTTGTCCATAATACCTTGCAGTCTTCCCATATGTCTGCTTCAAGTTTTCTCAAATTTGACTGCAAACATGGAAATACACTTTAATGCGTCAGCTGACTATTCACATTCAGGCCTATGGGGGAAAGGCAGGGTAAGACATCTGGTGCCAGTTTACTCCGGAATATAGAAGTTGGATAAAGTTGTGTTTTTGCAATATTTGAACTTGGATTTGATTACCACTATTGCACTTTGAATTTTTGTGTGTTGGAGCAGTTTCCCTAAAATGATTAGTATATTGTTTTATACCATATGATTTAAGCTGATTATTCTAATGTTTCCTACACTGTCTGCTCACGATTCCCAAAGAGCCTTGGCAAGCAGTATCTGCATAAATGTTAAGATGACATTTCTTGTGGCTATAGGACACTTGGGGGGGGGGGTTCTTTATTTGGAAAGAACTTTTATTAGATCACAAGAACATACTAGTTTATTAGAAATAACACCCACAGGATTGCACTTTTTCCCTATAATAAAATAAAAAAATGGTTCTCTGAAAAGCAGCAAAGTATTCTTCAATTATCCCAAATGTAGTTGAGATAATGATTTTACTGGGAGGTAGGTACAAGACAAGTCCCCCTACACAAAGAAGTGACCAGTCTGTCACAGAAAACTCACACAGGAGGCAAAGGGCAGGAGTTTTCCTGCTGGAGTACTGCGTGGCTCAGAAATACACAAAAGCACACCAAGATTGAAGAGAAGACATTCTTCTGGTGTTTAGATATTAGTTTAGTCCAGAATTCAGCTTTAGACACTGTTCAGAATAACTATGTGGAGGATGACAAATGGCAAGAAGTTAGGTCACATAACTGCTTGTTTAAAACATGAAACCTCAAAACATGCACCTAGGTTAAAAAGAACCCTAGAAGGTATTCATAATAGGTAATGTGTGTATGGTGCTGGATTTAATTAAAAAAAATCACTTGTAAACAAAATGCTTGGAAATGATGGGAGGCCATATTTTTCAGCCCAGACGGGGGCAGAATTAAAGAAAACTAAAATGTATACAATACAGAAGCGTAACACTGTGCTCTACATTTGGCCACATAAGAGACTTTATTCAAACATTTTAAAATTGAATTGTTTACCAGAAATTAAATTCTATATCCAGATCTGTATGCAGCCTGTAGATTAAAGGGCAGTCACAAAGCACCAACCTGTTTAAGAAAGGACCTCATAGACTCTACCAATTGTAACACATACAACAGTTAGGCCAAGGGCTCTGAATTAGTTTAGAGTCACCAAGCCAGAAGCATATGGCACAAGACAATAGGAGATTGCATCTTATAAGCCTGGGGCTACAATGATTAGATCTCATTTACACTCAGATTTAATTGCTGGATGACAATGACCTCATTAGAATTATATTGATATTAGTATACCGCAGATTAGACGACTGGCAGAAAACGGTTAAACCTCCATACAAAAAGGAGATTTCCATTACCTGTAGAGCCCAAGCATAATCACATGTTTATGTTGTGAAGGGGGGTGTGTTAAAAAGGAAACATTGAGGTAGCCACCGTTTACCTCCCCTAGTTCTTTGAGTCAGAATATTAGAGCAAATAACAAAAATCAGGCAACTAAGAATTTCCAGAAGCTGACATGAGGAAAAACTATGAGGGTGCCATTGCTGACTTCTGCAGAAAATGCTAGCCTGGCAGTCACATTGACCTTCCTTCTTCAATGCCTTGAGTCACCAACCTCCAGCAAGTACATAGACAAGGGTTTCCAATTTTTTTTTCCAGAATCTTCATGTTGATCCAGGTGAATGATTCAAAGTATTGAATCCGAATACAGACTAGCAGGCTTTTCTTTGTTTTATATAAAACAGGGAGGCCACCAAAGACATCAACCATATGTCCCTTCTTTCAAGTTATACTCAAAAACAATGTTTTTTTTTCTTTATCAAGGGCACCCTTGGCACACCAGCTGTGGTGAAGCTACAAATGCCATCATGCCCCTACTCAGTCTTGCAATACCTCAAGACTGTAGCTACACAACAGCTGGAGTGCCAAGGTTGCCTACCCCCCTCTTCTATACCCTTGGAATGGCCATCAATTCCCCCCCCCTTTTTTTCTTACTTGTAAAAGTAAATCAGGAAGAATCCACATCTTTGCCTGGTGCCTATAGCCACTACATTATCGTGCCTCTACATTAGAGGCTTGACCATGAAGGTCTTAACACCATAGAAACCAGGATAAACATCTGAAATCATAAGTTTGTAAAGAACAGTCTTAAAAATGTAATACTGTTTTATTTGCCTCAAAAACATTTCAGCATTCTAAAACATAAAAAACAAAAACTGAACAATGCAATTTGTGTAAGCACAGGATGTTTTTGAACTTTAACTCTGTACTCAGTCTTCACTTCAGTATGAAGATGTGCCTATAGTCTTAGTTTAAAAACAGCTGCACTTCTCTAAATAAAAAAAAAAAAAAAAAAATTATATATAATAAACCCATACATTTCTCATGCCAGCTGAACTCCTTTCAACAACTAACAGCAGAATTCTATTTCACTATATACAGAAAGACAAACTTTTTAAGCTAAATTGACGCCCGATGTAGTGTAAGTCTTTATGTGCATGCTTTGGGCCAAAATGGCAAACCCAAGAAGGACTTCATAATCCAGGGATGGTCTTAAACCCTGAGGTACTATCAGCTCCAAAAAATATGCACCATAAGATTTTGTCTAGTTTACAGATTACAGATATGTACAGTTTATAACCCATGGATTCTCTAAATAACCATTTAGTAACACCTTAAATTAAAAGAAAAAAAAAAAAAGAAAAGAAAAAAAATGCTTGAAACATTTTTAAATGCTTTGATACACCAACAGCAAAGTGCACAGAGTGAGGAGAACACTAGAGCGCATGGTTTTTTTTTTTCTTTTGCTTTTTAAAAAGTTTTGAAATATGTACAGCTTTGATACAGTTTCAGATTGCTCGTTTTACACACACAGCTATGTAATGTAAACCAGTTACAACTCCAAGGAGCATCGTTTTGAAACTAAGATATCAGAACCCAATTTTTGCAATTAAACCTAATGAACGGCAGTTGACCCATCATATAAGATGGCAGCCGGAGGTGGCTCCCCTACTCTATGAGATTCACATAAATGTACAACTTCATTCGTCGTCCTCTTCATCGTCATCATCCTCCTCTTCCTCATCATCTTCGTCGTCATCGTCATCCTCCTCTACTTTTTTCCTAGGAGCCTTAGGGGCACTTTTAGCACAGTCAACTTTTCCTTTGGATTTGTAGTCAGCAACATCCTTTAGGGAAGAGGAAAAAAAAAAAAAGAAAAAAAAAGAGTTAAGTCACAAGAAGCCTCATTTAACCAGAGTCCCTGAGAAGTGGTATTGGGAAAGTTCACATTTTGTTTCCGAGAGATGATTAAACCTGTCACTTGACTGTATCAAAGTAAAAACCATGGCTCAGCGATTCTGTATCAAACATGGAAAAGGATCAACACTAGCCAATCTACTGCTATGGCAGCACTGACCACATGGAAGAGAGCAGTGGATTGGTGGCCACTTGTAACTAGTTTTTACACATTTAGTCCACAATAAATACAAATGTAAGAAACGAGCATAAAGCATCAATTACCTTCTCATATTTCTCCTTCAGCTTGCCAGCCTTGTTGTTATAGGGTTGCTTCTCACCATCACCCAGGTTGTTCCACATCTCACCCAGTTTCTTTGCAACATCACCAATGGAGATGCCAGGATTTGTGGATTTAATTTTGGGACGGAATTCAGAGCAGAAAATGAAGAAACCAGATCTAGAGGGAGGAGGAACAAAAAAGTTGCAGGTTACCTCCAGAGTAGCAAACACATTTTGCACCATCTGCAGTTTGGGAGGTTTTTAAAAGGAAAAAAAAAAAAAAAAAAAGCAAAGTTACTTACGGTGGCCTCTTTGGGGCATTTGGATCCTTCTTTTTCTTGCCTCCCTTAACTGGTCCGAAATCTTTCATTTCTCTGTCATATCTCACTTTGTCTACCTTTGCCATATCGTCAAACTTAGACTTCTTTTTTGCGGACATTGTCTGGCAAAGAAAAAAAAAAAAAAAAACTTTAGACACTACACATTCAGTTGAGGAATTTTTAAAAAAAACAAGCACTCTTGTTGAGGCAGATCATCAATACCTTCCATCTTTCAGAGCACTTCTTGGAAAACTCTGCAAAGTTAACAGGGATTTCAGGATTCTTCTTTTTGTGTTCCTCGCGACACGTCTGCACAAAGTAGGCATAAGCCGACATCTTGCCTTTGGGCTTCCTCGGGTCACCTTTAGCCATTTTGAATCTGTAAATCAAACAGAACATTTTGAAGTCAATAGATTTCCCTACATATATACGCTATAGGTAGCTTTCTAACCACAAGAAAGAAGTGTGCAATATACATGTATGCAGATCAGGATAATGCTATGTCCCTTATCCATATAATGCTGGCCCATACACTGCTCAAATTTTCAGTCCCAGTGACCCAGCTGAAATGTGATCTGTGTCCCTGATGCACTACTTGGTTCAACAAAAGTCAATTTTTCAATCAACTTTATGAAGGAGTGAAAATTGCTGTCACAATACAACCGAGCAGAGAAAGACTAAGAGTGGCCATAGACCAGTGGTGGCAAACCTTGGCACTCCAGCTGTGCCAAAACTACAAATCCCAACATGCATCTGCCTCGGGGAGTTATGTATGGGGCTGTCAGAGCCTTGCAATGCCTCATGGGACTTGCAGTTCCAACACAGCTGGAGTGCCAAGGTTCACCACCACTGTCATATTTTTTGTTCAACCTGCAAGTAGAAAACATAAGATTCCTCCATCCACACTTATGACTTACAAGTGTGGCTGGAGGAATCCCCCACCACTGTTTTCATTGTATTCTGAAAGAGGCAGATGGCCACTGTCAAAAAACCTGAACAGTGATTGCAGCCAATAGGCTGCAAGCTCCGTTTAGCCAAAGATTCTCCAAGGGCTCTTACGATTTTCTGATCGAGGGATGTTGGCCAGAAGGCAGTTTAAGACTAGAGTTATGCAAATGTATCTTTATCAGAAATGTGCCCGTTATTCATAATCATTTTAGCAGTTCATCAGGGGGTGTTTAAATGGAAGAGATGTTCCTTAGAGGGATTGAAAAAAAAAATAGGATGTTTAGGACCACTGGAAATGTCTGCAGCAGTGATGCAGAATGACAGGTTCACTTTATACATGTTAACAATCAGGCATTTTGCAGAATGCAACTGAGGTGCAGTACATCCCAGTGACCTGTAGGGGACGCTTCTCTACCTACTGGCCAATGACAGCAAGATGCTTCCCTGTCATCACTGGCACCGCCCACCAATTTGATAATAACTGTACATTCCTCTGAAGGGGGACAAATGTTACTGAAGAAAAA